GGTCTAAAAGTCTAGAATTTGAAGAATTTGTATCGTGTACTCTCATGAGAGTACATCAGAGTACATCAATTGTTGGTAAAAGTATATGAGTAAGTCGCAGTACAAAATGTATTTGTATTTGCGCAGCTCTGTGTAAAAAGCACAACTGGTATTAAGTGTTGAAGTATATAGTGCGATATATTGACTTTATCACTTGTACGTCACAGATCGTTACAACTATTTTGATATGATAGTCAATCTGATCTGCATGGATGATACGGTCGAAATTAGAAGACTACTACTTAACGAGTTCAACGAATCCATCATGTCCCAGATTTTAACACCGTAGGGGTACACCTGAAAGCTTTTTATTGCAATCTAAACTAGGGATTGAAAAGATTTGAAAAATTTCATTTTATTTCTCTCGATACATTGCTATGTTTTATCAAAAATTCGATGCCACTGGCATTTCAAAGTGTCTTCCATGGTTTACATAAGACATTCTCATAAAACTATAATCTAATCATATTACATAACTAATCTTCGCGTTTCGATACTCCAACAATAAATCACTGAGCTTCCACATATGAAACTACTGTGGGGCTGCTGGTTGTTGTCCCAATTGAACATTTGTGCCTTGAATTCGTGATTGATAATAATCTACTAATCGTCGAGCTAGTTGTTCAGCATCATTAAGATATCTGTCGGCTAATGCCCGATTTTCATTTTCGTCATTATCTGCCAGACGCGTGCAAAAATCGACACCAAATAACATTAGCTCATATTCAAGTTTTTCATACATAAAGACTTTGCCAAGTTTTTCAGGAAAACGATGAAAATATTGTCGAACAAAGTTGCAATGATTTCGAAGCATACAGAATACATAAATTTTATTTAGTTGAGTACAGTTCAACATCGCCTGAAAGTATTCAATATGGATACTCGAAATGAAAAGTGTAAAATATTTTCGTGGATTATTATGAATATAGGTTTGACATTCGACATAGTTCCCAAATAAACGAATAAATGAAAATGGTCTAATATCGTCGAACTGTATAGCAATAACTGGATGTTGCCCTATGGTATCGTAGAGTATTGTAGATAGCTCTTCGCTCATGTCATAAATCTGAGAATAGGTGAAATCTTCAAGTTGTGACATCTGAAAAAAAAAAGAAATATAAAGTGACCGAATTTATTTCTTAATAAGCATTTCACACAATCTTTTAGCTCTGAGAAACATTTTACGCGCTTCTTCTGTTCTATTCTCAGTCTCAAACTGATCACCGATGTGTCCATAGTAAGCAATTAGATCATGCTTTATACGAAAGCTTAATTTTTCAATATTGGGAAATTTATCTGTACAATAATAATGTTTAATTTGAGTAAATTCGTGAATGTGTTTTGTAATTATAAGATTATATTCTGGATCCGCTATAAAAAATACGACATTGTCTTTTTCATTTTTTTTCATATACTCTAAACAAAGTGTTTCATTATCAAATAACAACAATGAAGGAACAATCGCATCCAATTTTTCTTTGATTGCAGGATTCGAAGTTCGAGTAAGACAAACAACTGTTACGTCTGAAGAGATGACAAGACTTGCTACTGTTTCCTCTAAAATATTTAATACGTTAAAATCCAAAGTATTCAAGAAGAAGTTGAGTTACCTTCTTGAATTTCCATAAGTTCATGAAACATTCTACTAACTAGAGTATCTTTACATTTGGCTAAAATGAATTCACCTTTCTTTACATGTTGGTTTGCTTCTTGTCTATACAACCGTGCTATTTCATCAGCTAATTGAAAAAGCATATCTTCAATGGTTTCCAATGTTTTATGTTCGGAACTATGTTGAATACTCAAAACAAACATGTTTTCGATCTTTCTCTTCATTTCTTTGTCAATCGAATTAACATATTCATCAACGGTGAATAGAATAATGTGTTCTTGTTGATCGGATAGGTTTTTTCTCAATGTAATGAAGTCATCTGCTATGAATAGATTTTCTATAGTGAGCAATTTAAGAATTTGCAGCATGGTTCTTGATGTTCGATTCATGTGATTATTCAAACCGAGAAGTGCGAATTGAGTCTGTTCAATCAGTTTGACTTCTTCCCAAAGTTTTAGTTCTTGCCGAATCAACATCATAGTCGGATGTTTATACGGCAATTCTTTTAACAAACGTTCATAATATACCAGAGCCTTCTCTTGTTGATTATATCGGTACATAAGTTTCCCAACAATCGATAGATCTTGAGCATCCTTCAGCTGTTGCTTAATTTTTCTTAATGCAGGAATATTTAGTTCATTAACAAGTTTCAAATGCAATCTCCAAGTATTCAAAGTTCGATCGAGATAAATATTTTCAATTCCAAACATTGATCCACACATAAAGATAATCTCATCGTTTCGATGTTGACATTGATCAATATCACCGATATCAGCAAATGGAGTTGATGTTTCATTTTGATATATAGCATCAATATCAAATAAGACTATTTCAGAATCCTGACTAGGTTTTTCCGGACATAGTTCATTGTTTAATCGCTTCGTAGTGAAAAGAAATCCGTTTATCATCAGTATTTGACCAGGTTTAGAGCTAACACTGTCTAATTGCATTTTGGACATGATATGCCATTTAAACACATGGACCGATTGTTGACGATGATTGATTAACTGTTGTCGAATATCAGTAAGTAAAAAACGAAGAGCGAATATCATATAAATATCTTGATTACGTAATGCTTTATTAACGAAACGAGCTAATGGTGTATCATTTATAATATAGAGCAATGCTTTTCTCGATTCATAAGACTTTTTGAATTCATCTATTTGAAGTAGTCCTTCCTCATTGTCCGAACTATACTCAAGTAATATTTTAATTAGATCATCGAATGTACTAGTCGATGGTATATGATTGAAAAGTACATCAAGTAGAAGTTCATACCAAATAAATGCATCCTCTATTGATGTTGTATTCGATGCTAGTTTATTTTGATCAATAATAGATAAAGCTCGAGAATCTTCAATATTTTCTCGATTCTTCTGATCTTTGAGAATTCTTTTGATCAGTTTATCTGTATCGATGATTACTTTTCGAACCTATGTTATTTTGAATTGAAAACAAAAAGAATAAATATGAATATTTGTTACGCAGAAAATGGCTAAACTGATTTTCCCTAACCTGAACAATAATGAATATTTATAATTCATCTTTTCGAATTAAAGAATTCAAGACCTAATTGTGTCATTTTCAATATCATCAATGAACAACTTACATTAATACGACAAGAAATTTGTATTAAAGTACTTTTTAGAGTTTTCAAAATGCTCAAAAAGAAATTTTCAAGTTTCTCGTGTTCAATTTAGTTTTTACGTACAATATTGATTCAGACACTTTGAATGAAATTGAACAGCATCGTTTTTTTTTGCTCGTCTTTTGACTGATCCTGTGAAAAGAATCAAACTATTCGAATTAACCTTCATGGAAATGGGTGGGTTGAAAATTTTGTAACTATTGAATTAATTTTTTTCAAGTAATAAAAACAATGAAAATAATATCAAAGTTATTCATTTTGAGCTTGAATACTGTTCACAAAAAGATGTAAAAACTAATGAAAACGAAATTTTTGTAGCCATTTCACTCTTGGTACCGTTTGTATTCGGAAAATTTATATATATATATTATACATGAATACGAGTATCGATTCGGCACAGTAATATTTACCCAATAATTCTAGTTACAATTGAGTTTGTTTCTGTGTTCAATATCTACACATTTATTGAGCAAAGATTCATTCGATTTTTTTGGCAACATTACTGAATTGCACTTTGGTCTGTTGTCATCGATTCATAATATCAAACTGTTCTTAAGAAGAAATTAGTATTACTACTATGGCAACTTAATTCAATAGTTTTCTTCCTTTTCGTTTCCTTAGAATCGAGAACTATAAATATTTAAAGTATATTTTATCTAAAACAAGCGGTTTAAAGGGTATTGAAACTCAGTTAAATCTCAAAGATCACATGTACTTGAATCTACTTAAATCTAGGTACAAGATCCTTCATCAAGTTTTAATTGTACATCTACAATCGTTTAGTTTTCTTAATCATTAAATAAAAAGCAAACGATCTAGTAGAACATCACTTGTAGATTTTAGACTGTAATAAAAGTTGTGATGTGGATTTCAAACTTTTTTAGACACATCGTAGCCATTTCCTTGTCACAAAGGAAAATATCACTCTTTCAGTTGAAACTAGAAGAAGATCAATATGTTCTCAAATTCAGTAATTTGTGTAAATTGATCCAAGTATTCATAACAAGATTATATTGAATTTTGACATGTAATGAAGCTTACAACTTAAGTTTCAGTCTGAGAATTGAAAGTCCGTTTTGCCAGCTGATATGTGATACGTGTCGAAAAGATTCAGCTTTTTAGTAAAGTCAAACCTTGCTAACCTAACTAATGAAAATAGCTTAAACTTGAAAACAATTTTTAACATGACAATGCTTGATCATCATGTATTGAAGTCTTTTATGTTAGACCGATGGCTAGAGTTTGTTCTATTAGATAAAGGAAAAATTTTCTACACTATCCGACGTCATTCACCGAATCCACAATATACCATATTTTAGTTTCATATGTTTATATGGTTACGAGATAGCTCAATATCTTTTCCCATGCATCTATATATGTTGCTATCTATTTTCGCACAAATGTAATAGCAAGACTTCGCTTACCTTCGAAAAGTTTTTAGTCCATCGTTGATGTCGACTTTTATTTCGACAGTAGACGTAGATATCAACAATTTGTTTCATATCATGAACTTTTGGCACAATCATTTGTCCAAAAGCTCCCGAAACAACAAGTACCAATCGGTCATCATCAGTACTTCGCTTGAGCCATTGCTCACATTTGTTATTGTCATCGAACACAATGCAACATGTAAATGCATCTTTTAAGCGTTTCTGCATTTCTATGTATCCTCTGTCTGTATCTATTCTTGGATCGAGCCATACAAGCATAAATGTTTCGAGATTTGTATCGTGCATTGTAGATACCATTCTTACGAGAGATGAATTTTCCGCATAACCTGATGCTGTGTCCGCATCATGTGAGTCAAATTTCTGCATTAGAGATGATCGGCCATGTTTACTCTTTGATACACCCAATCGATTTCCCATGACAATATGAATAGTTCGAATTCTTTTTTCTACAATGAAGTCAAAAAAAAACACAATAAAGCTATAATCAATAATTATCGTAGACGACTCAAACATATAATTTGTGATTATGAACGATAATGAGATATCTACAAAAGTTAGAAGTGTTTGCAATTCTATTAGTTGGCATCGATCGAAATTGATCAATGAAACAAAAATTGTCACAACTATGCGAGAAAAAGATCTCAAAATTTGTCACTTTTGGTAAATTCATTCCAAGGCTATTATCACTCCAAGATTCTTCACGTCTTGTAATGTATCGAAATCAGCCAAGAATTTTAATTTTCTTATTTCTATTTGTGAGACCTTGGCTTTACTCAATAGAAATTTAAGTAAGTCTATAGAAGACCTAATATGACTTTTTAATACTTTTTATAATGTTTACCTTGATTGTTATTTTCCAGTAGAGTTTTAAATTGAATCGTTCTAAATCCAACATAAAGGTTTATGTTATGAACTCTATTCAAATTAGCATACTGCTATCTCACAATTCGTATTTGTTCAGGCTACAGCATCTTACGTATACATAAGCGGAAACGAAGAAAAACTTATTTGCGACTGTCGAGATTTCCTTATATTTAAGAATTCTTAAAAAACTATATAGAGTACTTGGAACCAAGTGAAAAACCTCTGAAAAGAAATGTATAGCGGTCATCTATCAAATTAGTTGGATCAAAACTGGTGAGCAGTTGTTTTAGAGATTTCTAAAAACTTATAAGGAATTTTAGAGGTTTCTAGGTGTTCTGACAGATTTCCGAGGATTTCTAGGGTTTTATAAACGTTCTGCCTGTAAAAGTGAAATTTCTTCCCCTTGAGATCCTATAAAATTCTTTTAAATTTCAAGTTAAGTCTTAGTTTTTGTTTTATGTTATACCTAGCATGGGACAGATATTGACTGAAATTTTTAATGAAATTGAAAAACGAACTCCAACATAATCGTATGGAATGTTTGATTATCGTAATTAAATACCAATACCTTAAAAATGAGAAGGCATATCTAATGAATAGTGAGGACAATTAAATTCATTAGAGGCTGTTTAGCCAAGATGAAACAAAGTTTTCTACTTTTTTTTTGAGATAACAACATGTCATTTTAGTCCTAATCGACGAGTAGCTCAAGAACAGATTATTGATAGTTTTCATGCTCGATTTTACGTCATTTCTCATATCGTCTGTCATATATTGCAATGTTCGATAATTGAAATTCGAGACACTCATTATTATTTTGTTTCCTTGATGTCTACATCGGAGTATGTACTTTATGTCATGCTGATCTGGAAGATGAAGTGATCCTTGTAGCATTCTTCTTAATGGAAACATGCTCCTATGATGAGAGATACTAAAAATGCTTCCTTGGTTCTCGACCCGAACTTCTTTTTTTCTCCTACAAGCATAAAAATGACGGCTTCGATAAAGAAATTCACCATTGCTCGTATTTGAAATAGAGAGAATTCAATGCACTACGTATTCACATAGTATTGGCATTTTAAAAATTCTCAATAAGGAAAATACCTTTGGCTCCATTAAACTCAGTAACTACTGTTTATAATATTCGAAAAGTGACTTTTATTAGATGTGTAAAATTTTTATTCAGTCTTCTATGCTCTTTTTTTTCAAACTTGACAAAGAAAGTTGGAAGGTGCAAATCATGATCAAACTTCAATCGTTATCCTTGGTTATTCGTTTAATTCTATGCTAGACTAATATAATCTTAGTAAATTCTACAAGCAAAGAATCTATGTAAGAATTTTTTCTATTCTTTTAAAACAATAAACTTCATGAAATCGTAGATATCGTAAAATTTTATTGAATGTAATAAATTTGTTTTTTATCGTTTATTGTTAGGCAAAAACACCAATTCGATTGAAAGTAATCGATCTATGTAGAGTACAATCTCTGCCAAAGAGTCTACACAAAACATGTTTATTGGCTTGTTTCTTTTTTCAGAAAAAACACGATAATAAATAATCGCTTAAAATTCTACTATCTATGTTATATCAATAGCCTATATGGTATCCAATATGATCCCTGAATAGAGCTAAAGAAGCAGTATACCAGAGAATCCATAATGACTTATAGGAGGCTGTTGAAACCTAAGGGTCTCGTTAAATTCTAACAATTTATCAATCGTGTTGGGTACAATTGAGTTACATCAACTTAATGATCTAGTATTGATATACAATAGTCACTTCCTATACTATTGGAAAAAAAACTTGAATAGGTGCTCACGTCTTTTGTCAGTCATCGTTAGCAGAAAGAAACCTATATTACTTGTAGTCGTCATTAGCCACACGATGTGAAAGTCAAACAGAAACAAAAAACTCTAACGCACGAGCACAGCAATAAAATCACATTCAATCGTACCTCTCAAAATAATCGTAAGCGTGGTAGAAACAGTTGACTGAATTGCTATTTTTCTCTCATTCTGTCCTTTTTTTTATTGTGGAAAAATAACGCATCGAAACAGCATTCTAGTGAGATATCTTCTGTTTATGATGTGTTCGTTCTAACCATCATGACTGTTTTCGTGTGCAAGAAAGAAGGCAACGATCATGTACTTTTAAGCAAATAATTTTTTTCTTCATGAAAAAAAAAGCATGAATAAAAGTATACAATACACGTACGTTGCCTATCTTCCGTTCTGTCAATATTACTGACAGGTGAAACACTTAACAGAGACAGCCTATTACTCAGAATTTCAAAGGTTCATAACTTTTTTATCAGTTAACTTTATGACAAAACTTGAATGTAGAAGGACATGAAGGAAGAGAAAGAGATGTATCATTTCTTTCAGCAGCGCCAATATTTAAGACGGTCATATGCAATCTGACTCATTGTTTAGAAAAAATCATTCTTTCAAATTGAAGAACTATTTTGCGAGAGTGTCCACAATACTTTAGGATAAACCGTAATTGAAGGATGCCATGGAAGAGTTTTTGTCGAAATCTGATAGTGTATTTTAAAAATTGAATAGCATCACAAATTTGCCAAACAACGTTTGAAGAGCGACTGATGATCATATTCTAATTCTCATTCATCAAATTAGTCTATTTTATATGAAACAGAACTTTTGTTTCATGAAAAAACTCAATGATGCTAACTATCTTTATGGAAATAGGCAATTTTAAAGTTTTGATTGAGAAATCAACTGCAACTGGATACGAATTAAAGTCAATGAAATCTTTTCATAGCTACTGAATACGACAATTAATTTGTTGTACAGTATCGGCATCATTTTTCACTTTCACGCCTAGCACAGATGTTGGTCCTTCCAAAAATTCTGATGGAAATTTCTTTCGAATAAATTCGGTTGCTCGTTCATGGATTTTCTCATAGAATTTGATGAAGACTTCATTTTTCTTTTCAGTAGACAAAAGAATATAGCCATAGTTTTTCTTCAGAATGATCTCATCAAACGTACAAGAGTATAACTCCAGTATTTTTTTGATTTCAATAGCCGCTGAGCGATGTTTCGGATCATCGGCTGTGCATCGAGTAATGAGATCTTGAAAGATCGGACTCTCTTTTCGAAAGACAATTTTCTCCTTGGCCAATGGGCGAAAGGAGTGCGGTGTTTCGGTGAACAGTTCATTCATGGTCAAACTAAACGTGAAAATATCCAGTTTTTGGTCGTACGTGCTACCATGAAATTCCGGTGGCATGAAAGGTTGACAGTCGATGCAAGTATGTTGATTGAATGGGTCAACAACACGAGCAATGCCCATATCACCGATTTTGCAATTATAATTATGATTGACCAGAATATTATCCGGTCGAATATCTCGATGGATCATGTGATGTTCGTGAATCTTTCGCATTCCACTGGCAATTTGTCTCGCTATGTGGACTTTTCGACGCAGAGATGTTTTGCCTTTTCCCTTGAGTACGCTAGCCAAACTACCACGTGCCATGTATTCCGTGATGATTATATAGATTCGTTTGTTGCTTTGTCGAGCCATAGCATATCCGTATGTTTTGAGAATGTAACCACCTGACAGTTCCATGTAGGCAGCCAGTTCTTTGAAAAAACGTTTTTCCAAGTCACTGATTTGTTCTGAATCAGGCACTCTGATTACTTTACAAGCCGCGGAAAGACTCTTCGACACCCAACGAGCCTTGTGAACAGATCCTTTGATAGAGCAACATGCCTGACTGATCAACAAGTAGATTATACTTACCAAAAGTGCCACTTCCCAATTTTTCACCTAATTCAATATCATTCACAGGAATTCGTACAATTACTCGGCGAGAACTTAGAATCAGTGGATGCGTCGACTTATGATAGTTTGTAAGGACACTTCTGCTGGCACACTGCTGGCATAAGTCATAATCTGAACACGCGTCACATTTGAAACGTAGTCCGATGAAATCCGTCTTGGTGCATCCATCACAAATGACCGATTCATGCACTTCATTGGCATAGAGCTGTTTGAGTTTCTCAAGAGTTATATCTTCGCTGGTTAATGCTTGACCGAATAGTTTATTAGGAAAACGTAAATGAGCAAGTAAATATCCGCTCTTGTGTTGTTTGGGTTCAGCGCGGCGTTCAAAACAGCCAGAACATAGATCGAAATCATCACATTGTAAACATTTGTAACGATCACCTCGTACTGGAGAACTTCCACATGCATCACATGTGATATTGTGTACCACTTTGCTTTCATCCTCATCATCATTTTTCACATTCTGTATGAGCAATGGAAGAATGTTTACCAATGCTTCTTTTTGAATAGTATGGGAGTCTTTGTTCTCTTCTGTATCTGAAAAGAAACTTTCAATCCAAATTGTTTACATTTTAGAATAGGTGAGGCAAGTAAGGTTTTTCTACCTGATCGATTTTCGACCGTCGTGGACTCACCGGTCTGACAGGTTTCAGCATCATTGGTTACGGTTCTTAGTGATTCTAATAGAAGATAGCAGAATTCATTCATTAAGAACTGTAAGTTGTCTTACTTTCGCTT